CTGTATCAAGAAGGCTGACGCCTGATTACTCCTGAGGAAGACTGGTGAAATGAGTGTATAACCGGGTGCTCATTGAGGATGTTGGACTCTTCCTTGAAAATGTTAGAATTTCCTTAGCAATATTGTAAAAGTTTTAATTGATATACAAATCGATGTTCATAGGAATTATTACATGCGATTGTCATTTCTATCACAGTGTTTCTTTGTTTGGTATAACCACCTGGAAGCTGGCAACCTAGAGGTTTCCCCTGTCAGACCTGGCCCCATACTGCTTCGGACTGTCCCCTGATTTCTGGACGTATTTATGTGTCTTTAGTTTTCACTGTTTTTGTTTGTTTTTCCTACTTTGTCCCCAGTTCTTTTGTGACCACTTTTACTTCAACGTTTTTATGGAAGTCGATTTCGAGTTGGCTGTTTTCTAGTGCATAATGTTTCTATTGGTTTCCTTTGTCCTGCCCACTTCCACCCACCTCCTGCCCGCTTTTCCATGATTGGACTGTCATCTTCGTTAAACCACTCCCTCTCCCCCAAAGAAAGTGATTTCAATTTTTTAAAGGCCCTAAAATATCAATATAACGCTGTGTTTACAGGAGGTTCTCTGCATTCCCAGCTTTCCTTTTTAAAAAGTAAGTCTCTATACTCTTCTGTCATGAAGATATAAAGAAAAATACATCTCCATGAGGGAGCTTACTTTTTTTAAAAAAAAATGAAAGCTGGGAATTTAGAAAAACTGTGTTGTGTTATATTGATAGCGCTTTACTGATATTTTAAGGCCTTTAAAAAAAATTAGGGGGTGCTGTGACTCCACCAATGATAATACCTGAGAAACCCGGGAAAAGAGCAACAGCCTGAAGCTTATTGGGCAGATTAAAGAGGAAAAAACTAGGAATGGGCATGAACTGGGAAAATGTGGTTTGGTTTGTGATTTGTGGCTGAACCCCAAACCGGGAGGCTGATTTACAAACTGAACCGGTTCATAAGGTTTGTGACCCTGCAATCCCCACTGAAAAGGACCACAGTCCCTTTAAACGGAGTTTGCAGAAAGCCCGAGAAACAGCTGAGTGGCTGCTCCCTGCCATTCAGCTGTTTTGGGCTGTCTTCTGCAGTCCCTTTAAACTTTAAAAAGATCGCAGAAGACAGCCCGAAAAACAGCAGACAGCAGAAAGGGGGGGATCTCCCGGGAACGGACATTCCTTCCATCTTTCTATTACTGCAGCCAGTAAGGGGGGGGGGAATCTCCCAGGAATGGACTTCCTTACAACCTTTCTCTCGCCACAGCCAGGGGAAGGGGGGAATCTCCCAGGAAAGGAATTCCCTTCTACCTCTCTCCTGGCTGCAGCGAGGCATGTCCATGAGAATTGGGAGGGGGGGAATCTCCTGGGAAGTGACACCACCCCCTATATATGGAAAGCCTAAACACCAGGTCGTGACATCATCAAATGTAGACATCACATTCCCTGAACTCTGCAGTTTCCAGCTAGTGTCACAAGTGTTTTAACTTGCAGTTTCTTGTGTACCCAACAAGATATTCTCTTGATTCTTTCACTGCAGTATTCCAGACACTTCACACTAGCTTACAGTGTTACTGTTCAGTTTCCCTTGCATATTTGAGTGCATGTTTTGGATAATTTACAAGCATATAATAGGGGAAAGTGGTGGATGTCTATTGTATGATGGTATTGTCAAATAACTATAGAGTTTAATAACTTCTGGTTTTCAGTATTACTTTTTATTGACCATTGACACAGCATGAGATAGAAATATGCACAAACTCATACTTAGGTAAGAAGTTTTCACATACAGTAAACTTCAATCATAATCTCCAGTGACCAAAAAAACCACACCCAGCTACACAGGATATTGGTGTACATTCACAAACGTTCAAGGGAACCAACAAATGTAATAGAGAGTTCAACAACAAACAATCTTCCTATGGAACTTCTTTTGAGTAAATTAGTAAATTAGAGGAAAATATAGAAACTACACATTGTGGCCTTCAATGAATCTAAATCTCCCCAGTTGTCATTTCAACTCACGTTGTTGCAGTTCAGGGGCAAATATATGTGAAAGGCAACCACATCACTTCTGTAAAGTTTTCAGTTTCCTCTGTGATGTTTGTGACAGTCTTTGCCCATTTTCTCTTTTACAATAGTTGTTTAGGAATGTATTGACTGCTACCAACTGTTAATATGTACAAACTCATACTTAGGTAAGACATTTTCACATACAGTAAACTTCAATTATAATCTCCAGGTATAATCTCAAAGCAGATCTGTGCAAGTCCGTTTCAGCATCCAGCCTTCCACCTCTTTCTTCTGCAAAAATACAGATGATCACTGTGTAAAAAACCCCAAACCCCCCCCCAACAACAACCCCAGAAAGCCCTGGGTCGCTCAGGAAGCAGGGGAAACGTTCCCGCTCGCTGGGCTCC